GCGGGCCATGGCCATTCCGGCTGCATGCGTCGCCCTGCGGGTGGCACCTTTGGCCGCCCTGCCGACGCCCAGGTCGCGTGCATCCGTGGCCGATGTAAAACAAACCCCAACATTCTTCAACCTGGTCGCGATTAGCTTGGCCATCTTCCAATGCGAACTGAAAGTGGCACTCTTGTCAGCGAGCTCCAGGCCTTCGCGCTTGAGGATGTGGGCAAGCTGCGTCGTTGCTGCGACCATGATTTCCTCGACCGCCATCTGGCCGCCGTCAACTGCGGAGCGGATGTCGTCGAACCAGGCCCTCGGCATGGACTTGGGAGCGACGCCCGCGACTGACTTTAGCACCTGTAGGCGACGGCCTCGCCAGGTTGTTGGCGCGGCTGGAGCCTGCAGGGAGAAATAGATCTGCCTGGCTTTGGAGGCCATGGGCCCCCTGCCGTCTGACCAGCCTGGGCGCGCGGTGAATCTGCCGCTCGAGCGCGAAGGCCCTCTCGGGGAAATTCAGCTCCTCACAAGCTGCGGCCGCCGACTCCGGCGTTGGGGAGTCGTGGAAACGGGCGGCGTCGGCGAGACCGACGGCCGACTCCATGGCGAGCGCGTTGGCCGCCTCGTCCTGGAGCGCCCCGGCTAGGGCCCCCCTCAAGCGCGAGGAACCTCTCAGCGCTGCGCCCCAGTGCCTGGGGGCCGTTGACACCCAATCCTCCACTTGGGGTCTCGCCATCATCTGCCGGCAATGGATCAGCCGCGCGATGAGAGCGAGAGCTCTGTCGCCTGTTTTTCCTGGGCTCCAGCGTGATGATGGCCTGCAGCAGCTGGCGCGGCCAGGACTGAAGGGCCTCGAATGAATTTTACAGATCCACGAACGCCTGCCGAGCAGGCGCGGGCAGGCGGCGCACGTCGGAGGCCGCCAGCCCGTCAGTGCATCTGCCTCGATCAGGCTAGAGGCGGAGGGCCTGGTCAAAGCGTTCGAGAGTCCAAGATGGGCTGGGCTCCGCCCTGGCCTGCCCACGGATTCGGGCCAGAACGGTAGCGGCGTCAGTCTGCGCGACTGCGTCCGAAGCAGATATCTACAGACAAATCTGCGTTTCGCCATCTACCATTTCACATGGCGACGTGGCTCTGCAACTTTCCAGCACCGACTCGTCTTCAAAACGGCGGGGGGGGGGGGGCTTCGCGATCCCACGGGGCTCCCCGGGGGGGGCCCTCGCAGGGTCCGCGAGCCACTCGGCCCAACCTCTCAACTCCAACTCAAGGTCGCGCCCGCGCGCTCTGGCAGACCCGTCCGACGCCCTCAAGGCCGCGCCCTTGAGCGCATGGGGGTCAACCGCGCTGATGCCCGCATGCCCCTTTTGCCTCGAAGCACGGTGGCGCTGGGCAGCGGGGGGCAATGGGGGCCTGCAGCGGGCGCTCCCGGGAGAGACGCCGGGCAGCGTCGCGAAGCCCGCGTCGCTGTTGCCCCCCGATTCCTCCGTCGACGAAGGCGCAGAACAAGCTCGGGGCGTCGGCGGCTCCGGGCCGCCAACTCGCTTCAGAACACTTGAAACGTGTTCCTCTAAGAACGCGCCCCTTGACTACCGCGGTCTCAACTTGATAATTGCAGGCCCTGCCTCCATCGCGATGGATGTCGCTGCGGGGGGCGCCGCGGGCCTCGACCTGGAAAACCTCCTCGCGCTGCGTCGGGGCCCCGTCGTTCCGACCAAGCGCAAGGGAGCTCTGCGGGCAGACCTTAGAGACTGAGCAGCAACTGATGCGTTCGGGCTCTGTCTCGCTCAGCGGGCAAACAGATGCGGCAACCTCCCGCCGCGGTTCCTCCCAGGTCTCGGCCAGGGGGGGCCTCGCAGGCTCTCTGGGGCTGAGGCGGGGCTTTGAGCTGGCCCGCCGCGCTGGCGCTGGCCCGCTGAGGCCCCTCAGGGAGGCCCCCCAGACCCCGCTCAGCATGTATTCAAAGCCAATGTTGGTCTCCCTGCCCGCGGGGGGGGGCACGCTGAGGTCAATGTTGATATCCTTGCCTGCGGGGTGGGGGCCCCCGCCCAGGCCGTCGAGTTCCTTGAGAGGGTCCGCCTCTGAGGAGCCAAGGGCCGCGCGACGATGGGCACCCCCGGCAGCGCTCGGCGTCGCGCAGCCGGCAGCCCCGCAAGGGGTCCGGCCTCAGCGGCGGACAGCTGAGCCGAATTGACAGGGGACTGGCCCTGGCCAAGAGGAAAATGCAGTGTCCCCTGGGGCCCCAGAGCCCCCCGTCGCTGGCCGAGCAGATCCTGGCCCTCTGTCTTCCGAAATGCACAGGTCGAAAGGGGGGGGGGGGGGGCGGTGGCCGCGGCAGCGGGGGAGGAAAGACGTCTCTCCCGAATGCGCTGCTGCCACTTGTTGTCCTGGCTAGGCTTGGCACGTCGCCTGGCGGGATGCTTGAAAAGGGGTGGGCATGGCCAGACCACGCGCGAGAGCAGGCACAACACTCGCCCTGAGAGCAAGGACTTGACCAACGTGGGGCCCCCCATGGGACCGAGACCGTCTGCAGGCGTGCAAAATAGGGAATCGCATCGTGGCTCATGAGTACGCAATATAAGAGCGATGGCTAGGCGTCAGCCTTGTAGCATGTGAGACAGCCTGGGATGGTGACGATCGATGACCCCGAGTTTTTGACACCATGCCGACTTCCAAAACATCTCAGGAGAAGCATTCAGATCACCTGCCGCGATAGAGGGCAACTTACACGAATTGAGCAAAGCAGACATGGGGGCAAGCGCGGCAGCATAGCTCCCTGAAGAGCAATTTGATCCTTCAAGGTACAGGCTGACAAGATTGATGCTGACCCCCTTGAGATGCCAAGTGATGGGCATCCAATAGCAGAAACTACACGTGCGACAACTGTCCACAACATCTGCCTTGACAGTAAACTGTGATGTCGTGCGCGGGCGAGCGAGCTCGGGGTGGCGCGAGGCCTGGCGGCGGTTCCTGATGGCCGCGCTCCTCCCCTGGAGGCCACATTTGAAGTCTCACTTGGGTGCGCAGCAAGGAAGGCCGCCTTCAGGCCCCAGCCTTTTAGCTCTCTCTCCCTCTGCCGCCTCGATGGCTTCGTATCTAGCGTGTGTCTCCTGCCGCAGATCAGCGTCGTGCGAGTCTAAGAAAAGCGATTCCTTGACGAACCTGCTGGCAGCGTTCTCCAATGTACTGATGTTGCCGATGAATACTTGCCTGGGCGACCGCTTTTCGGCTTCATCGGTCTTGGCTCGTCCAGGCCCACTTGGCCATCACTTGGCAGGAGCGGCCGACCCCGTCGCTGGGGTTGGGGCCGCCTTTGCCTGCTCCCTGGCCTGCTGCGAGGCCTTCGCCTTGGCCGCCTCGCGCGCCGTGGCGATCCTCGAAGCCTTTTCCTTCTCCGCCGTCGCCTTGGCCTCTGCCGCCTGGGCCTCGGCCGCTGCGGAGGCGGCTGCCGCGGCTGCGGCGCCTGCGCCTGCGGCGTCGGCGGCCGCTGCGGCCGCGGCCTGGGAGCTGTCGACGTCGGCGGGCGAGTCCCGCTGCTGGCGCCTCTTTTTGGACGCCTGCGTCTGTTCCTGCTTCGCGTGCCGGGCCTCGGCCTTCGCCGAGTCCAGGTGTGTCCTCAGCTGGGCGACGAAACCCTCCGCGCGGTGCTTGAACTCCTTCAGCATTGCCGCCTTGGCGTCCGCGACCTCCTTCATGGCCTGCTCGTCCAGCTCGTCCTCGTCTACCTTCAGCGCGGCGTCCAGGTCCGCGGACGACTCCGCGGCCAAGGCGTCTGGCGGCATGGAGAGCACGTCGTGCAGGAGGTTCTCCTTGGGGGCGCCTTCGAGCTGGATCTCGTTGACGGTCTGCTCCGTTTTGACGACAGCCTGGGCCTTCCTCGGGACGTCCTGCTCCAGCTCCGCGAGCTTGGCCTTAGCTTCATCGCGTTGGGCGATCGTCCTGTCGTACTCTATGTTGGCCTCCTCTAGTTGTTGGCCGCCTCCGCCAACCTCGCTGCATTGCTCTTGCACGAGGTCGCTGCCGTTGTGGCCTGGGCGGCATCAGTCATGACCTTCGACAGGCGCTGAGCCACCTCTGAGTCTATGCATGCCGGCGAAGTGCGAGGAAACGCTCTCGAGGGCCCTCGTGAGCCCCGCCGCCTGAACGCCAGAACTATTCGACGCAAATGACTCCTTGAGGCCCTTCCTCGAGAACTGGGGGCCGCACTGGCACTTGAAGTTCAGCGCCTCCAGGTTGGTCAATACCAGTTGCTACACGTCGTCCATTTCTAATCATGTTCATTTCTAATTGTGCTCGTTTCTAATTTGTCCTGGCCCCCTAGTGGCCAGGAAGAGGCCCAGGATAGAACAATTAGCAATGAAAGGATCCTGGCCCCCCAGAGATCAAAGAGCTTTCGAATCATTAGAAATGACCAACGTGTACACCACTTGCACTGGGTCCACGTCTGCCGCTTCTCGCCACCCATCTTGGCGCACAGGTGGTGGCCGCGGTGCTGGGCGAGCTGGAGGCTGCGCACGCTGGCCCTCGAGCGATGTCCGGGCGACTCTCGCCGGCCGCCTCGCCTCAGCCCGCTTGTGCCCGCGCCCGCCTCTGGGAGGCAACTGACTGGGACGCGTCGGATGTCGGTAGCGCCGGCCGTCGACCACCGCTGGAGGTCGGGGCCGCGAGGGTCGGCGCTGCTCCCAAGCAAGCGCTGCCAGAATGGACAGGCCTGGGAATGGCGCGACGCCTACCAGGAGGAGGGGGAGGGAGAGGAGGAGGAGGAGGAGGAGGAAAAGGAGGAGGGGGGAGGAGGAAAAGGGAGAGTAGGAGGAGGAGAGGGAGGAGGAGGAGGAGGAGGAGGAGGAGGAGGAGGAGGAGGAGGAGGAGGAGGAGGAGGAGGAGGAAAAGGAGGAGGAGGGAGAGGAGGAGCAGGAGAAGGACAACGATCGGAGCCGCGCCGCCCCCAAGCCCGCCCTTGCCTCCCGGGAGACGGCCGCCCTTGCGTCGCGCAAGCCCCCCGCTCTGGGCGCCACCGGGTCCTCCACATAGGCTTCCGCGCAGCGGGCCAGCATGTGAAGGCCCGGAGTTGACTTAGGAGGCAGCTACTGGGAGGTTTTCGTCGGAAGGACTAGTGAAGATTCAGCCCCAGTGGGGGGCTGTTTCGCCGGAGTGTGCCTCTCGGACCAGGCGGGACTGAACCCGGATCAAGCGGGGCCGAGCGGGATTGAGCCGGATTCGGCGGGATTGAGCCTGAGTAAGCTTGATTTCGGCCCAGGGCAAAACCATAATTTGACCTCCCAGGAATTGCATCCGAAACTGCCGGCCCCGCAGCGGCACCACGGCGGCGCTGCCTCGGCACAAGGCCGCCCCAGGCGGCCATGGCGCACACCGCGTGTCTGAGCCACGGGAGACTTCGGATCGCTCAGGCAGCGTCTCGGGCCGACCTGCC